AATTTTCCCTTTAAAAAACCTTTTTTAAGGCTCTTTTTATTTCAGTTTCTGCTCAAAAGAAGCTCACATTTGCTGAAAAGAAAAAAATCTTTTGATTCAATACAAATTCAAACTTCTTTTTAATTAAGCATTTAATTTCTGAATGCTTACTTTTTTTCCTCCTTTTTTTCATCCCATTTTTCCCCCTTTCTCATATTTAAAATGCAAATAATTGAGAAAAAAATCCCTTCTGAGCCACTTCTGTTGCTGCTGCCCCAAAGATGCTCCCAGCCCCATGCTCCCCTCACCAGGAAAGGAGTCTCGGAGTGTCCCAGACCCCTTCTTGTGTTCCCAATTCTCTGTGGATACCAATCCAGCTGCATCAAAATCACAGGACAGCCATGGGGCTGAATGAAGACAGAAAAACCCATTGCAAATCCAGCCTTGACAGGACCCCAAAAGGGCTGTGGCTGTTTTATGAACTGTGTCAGGAGCTATCAAGGCAGAGGAGCATCACCCTGGATGACCAAAGTGCTGCTGCACTGCCCCAAATCGAGGATCCCCTCACAGGCAATGTGTCTGTCTCATATCCTTTGTGTATTTATTACACAAATTCAACACATCTCAGGTTATAAATTACTCACGTGCATAATTAAAGGTTTCCATTCACAAACAAACAAAACAAAACAAAAATATATGCAGCTGTTGAACACAGAAACTTTTCCCTCATGGGCAATCTCTGACCAAGGCATCCTCTGAGTGAGCTGCATCTTCCCCCACCACTCTCATAAGCTGCACAGCAGCCAGCCATTGTATTTCCATGTATTTGTTGAGTTAAAGCAGTATTTTAGGTAAGTGAAGCCCAGTTGCCTTTAAGGGCAGAAAAAATTTGGGCTTAGGTGTCATTCAGTGTTGTGGTCAAATGGGAAATTTTATTTGGTGGTTGCTTTCCATCACGTGAGTGTCTGACATTTTATTTGCATTTCTCGAGGGCTTTAGTGTATTTTAAGATGGCAAAAACAGAGAGCAGCAGGGCTGGGGGGAAGCTCCAGCAGCACACCCTGATTTGGGAGATTAATAATGACCAGATGAGAAGCACAGGGACGGGGATTTACAGCAGTGTCTGGTTTTTCACAGCAAGAGTGAAAAAAACTGGGAAAAGCAAGAAACAAGTAGGCATGGAGAGAGAGGCATGGAATCCTATCTCCAACTACTCAGATCAAAATGTTCATAAGGCAACGAGTTTCTTCTGGGCATGATGAATGCATCAGGAGGATGTTCAGTAGCCTGTGTAGCCCAGAGATCAAACAAAGTGATCTCCTCTGCCTTTTAAATGTATGAAGCTGAGAGATCTTAAGGGCAAATAAACTTACTTTGATTGCAGGGCTGAGATCTTGGAAGTCACATTCCTTTAATTTTCTTGGGCTGGTTGCCTTCCCTGTGAAGGACATGCACAGGGTAGTGAGTTTTCAATGGAAACTGGTTTTGCCTCATTTTCCACTTCTCTCCTGTTACAAGGAAAGAAGTGCAGAGCTCCAGAGGCCTACCTGCCTCTTCCTATGCAGACAGAAAGGGCTGGGTGTCTGTTTTTAATTACAGCCTGAAAGAACTGCATTTAAAAGACAACAGAAAGCTATTTAATTAATACTTATCATTAGCACACATAGGAATGCCTAGCAGCAAATTGCAACAACAAAGCAATTCCTTTTTACTTTTTTTTCCTTGCACTTTGGATAAATTCAAAAAAATAAGAGTAAACAAATGGTTTGCACCACGTCTGAGATGACATTTTACAGAGTGAGAGTAGTGGGAGTGTAGGTATCACCCTAGGAGAGCAGAGATGTCTGAGCAGCCTTCTCCATCTCCAGTTTTTCAATCTCCAGCTCTCTTGGCCAAGAAGCTTATCTTCATCCATCCATCTATCTATCCTTCTATCTCAGCATTTACACCGGGCTCATCCCCATGTCTGAGCGCCTACTTGTCTTCATACCTGTCCATAAATTACATGAGGGCCCCAGGGCATTATAAATAATAATTCAGCTCCCAAACCTTCAGAACACTGTTTTAAAGCATTGGCTTATAATTCACCACCTTGTGGGCTCCTCCCAGCTCATAAATGGAGCAGAAGGACGTGACAGCCCAGTCAGTGGGGTAATTGCCCAGAGATCAATTCATTGGGTGGCCACGAGCTGGAAGATGGGGATGGACATTGTGACAAAGCTCAGGGGAAGGCTGGACTGCTCTCATGGGAAAAAGAATCCTCACCCACAGCTCCTTTGGGATTTTATATTCCTCTCAATTTTACTTCAGGCAGAGCAGCAGTCAGCCAGTCATCCCATGTTCCCCTTTAGTGAATAGATCTCTTAATGGAACTCTTCGTGATTGGAGTGTTGAACCACAGCACGGCTCTGCTGGCAGATGAAGCCCCCATAGGGCACAGAGGCAGATGGCTTAGAGGGCAGATCCCACCTGCAGTCCAACAGATCCCAAACCACACCAGGACAGGCCCCCAGTCCCTTGTTGGACACACCAACTACAGGTGAGTTTGGCTCAGGACAGCAAGTTGCTTTGGTACATGTGAGTTATTGAGGAGAAACCCCAGCTGAGCTATGACCGTGTTCCTCTATCTCAACACATTCCATCTCCATCCTAAGACATTACTTTCTACTTGAGGTAGGAGTTGGGAACATGTCCCAGCCATGTCTTTCAGTGTCCCCATGGAGTGTGGTCACCAGTTTGTGGGTATCACTATCTCCTGGGTCACCTGTCAGACAGGCCTGGGGTCAGGGACCCAAAACTGGAATTTTTGCTGCAGAAAGCAAGAGCAGGTGATGTATGAGATCAACTATTTGACAAGCCTGTCCTGGGTTTGTGATCAGCTCTGGAAAGTGCAGGACTGAAATACCATCAACCCCAGGAAAATGTGAAGCTGCCAGAGCCTGCAGCCACCCTTCAATGCTGGGTGAGGAGGTGCCACTTTTTGTGTGACTTTCCTCCCTCCATTTCCCATCTTTCCATCAAACCTTCCCTCTCAGACAGAGACCCAAGGATGAGCAGGCAGAGCCCCAAGCACCAGTTCTGGGGACAGAGTGGGAACTCCAGTGTGAGAGTGGCCATGGATGCCATGGTCCCTGAGCAGGCTGGGACAAAGCACACCCAGGGGCCAGGTTCACTCCCACATCCCAGGCACCGGGCTGGCACACATGGCTGTGCACTGCCCTCTCTGGGAGCACAGCCCCTCTGCAAGCCAAGCCTGTCTTGCTCCCTCTGCCTTGGCTCCAGGCATGGAACAGGCTTTTCCTGCTGTTCTTCTGCTCCAGAGATCTCGGAGAGGGCTTCATAGTGTCCTGTCCTAAAAAAAGGTCTGATTTGGGCTGGGGCAGATGTAGCATCCTCACCCCATAAGGTATCCTCAGGGATGGTTGAGAATTAAACTCCTTTTCAGCCTGCAATGAGGCTGGACCCTTTACTCATCCTACTGCTTGAGGGCACTGGGATGGGAGCATGGAATGCATTTGTCACGCTTTCTGCTTGCAAAACACACCAGGATTTTGGCAGGCTGCAAGTCCAGCCCCACTCACCCCATCCTTCACAGTGCTCCCCAGTGAGGGCTTGGGGTCTTGCCAGCCAGGTTTGCAACCAACTGCAGAACTGGGTGCAATTTTGGGCCTCTCCCCTCTCACAAGGTGTCCTGAGATATGATTAAGGGCTAAATTGCAACTGGGCCTGGCTGAGAACCACAAGATTTGGGGAGGCAGCTGTTAAGGGCAGTGGAGTCCAATGAATATAACACCTGCATCAATGAAAGGGGAAACTGATCATGAGGGTCAAAATGGATTGGGAAGTTTCTTACTGCCACCCCCAGAGATGTCCTGCACAACCCCCAGTGCAAAGCCATGCTTTGGGGGAGGGTTATTTGTGGGGATGAAGGTGCTGCTTAAGTAAGAGGTATTTTGATGGTTTGGCTCTTAAAGAAGGGTGAATGATGGCCTCATGAAACATCATTCCTGGACCCCACCTCCCAGCTGCTCAATCCCTGCAAGTAGAGCTGCTAGCATCAAAAACATCCAAGCGCTGTGTGGTTTTTACATCACTCTCAGCTAAGCTGTTTCCCTCACCCCCGTTAATTGGGATGGGGCAGCCTCAGCCCCCACCCTGGAGGAGGCACAGGTCCCTCCTCTCCTGCAGGGTTTCGGTGGGATGGAAGGAGGTGGCACAGAGCCAGCTGTGCCAGGGGGAGCCAAGGAAAAGGCTGCCTGGGTGCCAGCAAGGCAGCCTGCAGCCCAGGCCAAGCTTCCCACTCTTCCCGCACATTCTGCAACGTCCCAAGCTGAATCACTTCACAGAATTTACTTTTACCCTGTTAAATGCCACTAAACCTTCAAATTAATCCTCCCATTACAGGACTTCCTTTGATGTCAAAGGGGGAATTTTTTTTTTTGTTGGCAAGGGGGGATTTTTCCCCCCTGGTATAATTATTCCTATTTTTCTTCCCCTTTTTTTAGGCACAAGAGATTCCTGCCAGATGCATGGCTTGTGGAGGCAGCTCCCACACAAGGTATTTATGTATTTATATGTATATGATGAGAACGTGGTATTGAAAGACCTGAAGTTTCAGGCAGAAGATAAAGGGAATTTCCCATTTCCTACTTGTTACAGTGGAAGTTGCCTGGGAAGAGTCTGAAGCAGGACTAGGACAAAAGCTGTGAGATACAGCACTGGAAAACAGCTCTTTAAGAGAAACTTGTCCAGGGAAAACATCTGCTACTTAACACTATCACAAATTTCAATGCCTGGGAACAATTCCTGGCACTGCTTAAACTACAGGGATGGGTAAAGTGGATCCACTCCACTCTTGTATGTGTTTCCTATTGAGCATCTTTGGTGCTATTGGGATTGCTGGGCTGAACATCCCAGCACAGAGCCAGGATCACTGGATAATGCTCAAGGAGCAGGCAGATGTGGGTAGTGCTATGACAGCTTTCTGTAAGAGCCAGTAATGATGGAACAGCCAGGTTTACTCAGAGTTTTAATCAGGTTTTATGATTTATTAGGAAAAAGGGATACAATTGCAGTGCTCTTTACTGAAAATGTTATGAAATTGTCAATATAACTGAACTCTTTACTGAAAATGTTATGAGATAGTCCAATTAGACAGGGAAGTGAATTCTTGCTAATACATCATTGCATGGAGACTCCCAGCATAAGACAGGGCTTTTCTGGGAGAGGAGAATGAGCCTTGGGACACTGTCCAGCTGAGACTGGTCATGTCTGTGTGACTACCTGCCCTGGGGTGCAGAGTGACCCGCCTGTGCCTCCCACTGCTGTGTCACAGCTTCAATCCGGCCCCGGAGCACCTGTGCCCAGTCCTGTCCCCGCTCCAGGGGAGTGGATCTGGTCTCCATTGCTGTCAGGGCAGAGATTTCAGGCGGGATCTGGGGAGCCAGGCCAGCTCGGAGAATGGCATCCTGAAATTTGGCTGCAGAGGCTGGAGCCAAGCAACACCGGGGGATGCTGGAAAGGAAAGACAAGCAAAGGAAACTTATGGTGTAAGTGAGCTGAGGGCTGGAGATGCTGCAGGAGCAAGGGGATAGTGATGGTCCAGTCCCTAATGCTCCTGACCACGGCTGTCCCTACCTGTGTGGCTGTGAGTAGTGGTAGTGAGCAGCCACGGCAGAGTGGGGGCACAGCAGGTACTGGTTCTCCTCCCAGCAGCGCCGCATGGCTCCCACAATGTCCTGGTCAGAGGCTGAGCACGATCCCAGGGTCTCAGAGAGCTGTGGGGAAACAGGGAAGGTCACACAGGGCACCACCCCCCAGCTGGCTTTAGAGCAGGTGCAAATAGAGAGGCTGGAGGATGGGTTCCCCCAGAGACTGAAGAAAAAGGCGTTGCAGTATTTTACAGAAAGAGTGGTCAAATACTGGAATCATCTACCCAGGGAGGTGGTAGAGTCACCATCCCTCGAAGAGTTTAAAAAAAGACTGGATGTGGCACTTGGTGCCATGATCTAGTTGATGTGTTAGAACATGGGTTGGACTCAATGATCTTAAAGGTCTCTTCCAACCTAGAATTTCTGTGATTCTGTGATTCTGTGCTGCTGCAGCTGGAGGATGAGGCACTGCTGGAACAAACCCCAGGGATGGAGTGTGGGCAAGGAGTTTCCATCCACAGGTGCTGTGAGAGTGGGTGGGCAGGAGCCAGGGCTCAGCTGCTCACCTCTGCACTGCTGTTTCCATGCTCTGAGGGAGTTTCTGAGCACTTTAAAATCCACCTCAGTGCAACAGTTCTTTTTGCTTTTAATAATAAAATTGTTTTGTATTTATGTTTCTGCAGCACAAGCAGGAGTGGGCACTGGGCAAAGGCTGCTCTGTGAGGGAGAGCACATCAGAAACTGGACAGGAAAATGCAGGATTTTGTACCTGTCCCTCTTACAACTCACATCTTTTGTTTTCTTTTGTACCTCTCTCTGCTTTGTGTTTATGCTCCCCTTTGCTGTAACAGCAAGGCTGAATTGCACCAAACTCAGCAGACCCACTCCCAAACATCCAATCTGTGCCAGCATCCACTGTACAATGCCTCAGTGCATGGCCAAGGATAGGCCAATTTCATATGCTACCTAAATAACTGCAGGTAATTTTAAACTTACTTTGGTGAAGAAGAGAGACCATTCTTAAGAAAAAAAAAAGGGGGGGGGTAGTATCTCCATGCACACACATTGATATAAAACTGTTCTGGAGTCATGCTTAAATTTTTGGTTGCATATTCTCCATTATGATTTTTTTTATTCTGAAAATGAATTGAAAATACCTGGTAGCAATGATCTTACACACACACACAGGCACAGTGTTGTTTGGGTGAGGAACTGACCTTTCTGTGCAAATCCTCTGGCAGCTTCAGCCTTTTTGAGATGTTGAATTGCTCCATCAGAGTTTTTATCAGGCGGCCATCAGAGCCCGAGAGCAGCCAGAGGATCCTCTCCACATTGTAAGGCTCCTGGGAAAACATGGCAAAAGGTGAGGAAATTCAAATGGGGGGAGCATCCTTGTGGATTCTCTGATGTCTCATTAGGGCTGAGGTCCTACCACTGAGTTTTTCTTGGTGGAAATCAGGGTGGGCCTTTTGTCTTCTCTTTGCTCACCTACATCCCAGGACAAGTCTTTGGGAACACAATGTCTTTTGAACCTCTGACCTGTCAGAGCAGTCTGGCAGTGACCATCAGATTAAAACAGAAAATGAAGGGATGGCTGATGAATCAACAGCTTGACCACATCTGTACCATCACTGTGAGGAGCCCAGGCTAATAACACACTGTGTATTGGAGAACCAGACACATCCAGCTGTTTACTCAGTGTTGCAGATGCTGCTGTGAGTCACCCAGCTCCTGCATGACTTAATCAGACACCCAGCTGGCTGCAGGGCTGGCTGATAATCTCCCTGAATTCACAGGGCACATATAGGGCCTGACTGGCCTGTATGGCTGTGGAGCAATCAGCATTGCAACACTGCAGCAGAACTCTGTGCAAGACCATACAGGAGGGTCCCAAACCAATTTCTCTGCCCTGCCTCATTCCTGCACATTTACAAGCCCCAAGAAATATTCATCCAGGTGGTTTGGCTGAGATACCTTGTAGGGACAGACAGGACAAGGACACCAATTTACAGAGTCCTCATCTCACCTCCTGGGCTCAAGTTTGGATAAACTCTTCATAACTTTTAGCAGCTGACAGCGCCTGTGACCTTTTGTCACTCCATCATGTCCTACCTTGTCAAGTCATCAGGACTTACTCAGCCTTTTGTGTCCTTATCAGGGTGTCTTATGGGCTCAGTTCTGTTCTTCATCTTCCCACCATCATCTCCCAGAGCCTCCAGCCTCTAATCTTCAGTCTAGTCTGGGTGTAGCCTGCCCTTTGCTCTGGGCTGTCCCCTGTTTTAGGCTGTCCTGGTCAGTGTGCCTGGACTTCCACGACCTGCTCCTGGGTGCTCCTGACACCCTTTCTCCTGTCCTTCTTTCTGCTGTTCCCACATCCTTCTCACATCTTCCCACATTTTCCCTTCACCCTCCATCCCACCAGCCTTACAGTTTCCATTACAGAACACTGTGGTGACATCAGTAAGTTGAACTGGGCCAGGGCACTGCTGCAAGTACCAGCCTCACTACCTAAGTAAGGCTTTTGCTTCTGTCCCACACCACCAGAGCTCTCCAGGAGAATGTGTTTTGCTTCTGTCCCACACCACCAGAGCTCTCCAGGAGAATGCTGGGGCCCCGTTTGGAGGCCAGGTCATGCTGGGGACAAAGTTTTGGAGTGTGGATATGAGCTCTGTGGCTCTTCCTGACCTCAGGGACAAAGAACAGCCCCTGCTTGGCTGCAAAAGCTCAGTGTCTGCTGGGATCGTCCTGGGATTGCTCCTTGCAAGGCTCATCCACACCAGACTTTCTGCTTCACCTTCAACTCTTCAGGCAGCATCTAACAGGAAAGTTTTCTCTGCCTTATCTTAGTCTGCAGAAGCAGCAACCTAAAGAGGCTGAGCACTCTCCATCTTTGAAGGTTTCCAACACCCAAATGGACAAAGCCCTGAGCAATCCCACTTGACCTCAAGGCTGAATCTGCTTTAAACAAGTCCCAACCAGAGACCTCCTGAATTCGCCTCCGGAACAAATGCTCTCTTTAGCTATGGGAATATTTGCATGGATGCTTCAGATGTGAGGGAACAGTGACATCCCATGCAGCCATGGAGAGGGAAGTGCAGAGGGATTCATTCATTTAGCTCCTCAGGAATCTCAGAAAATCTCCTCACCTGACTCTGCCCCCAAGATCCCAAAATCTGGCACTTGCTGACCAGTGCTACTGAAGGGAGATGGACTGAAGAGGAACCCAGTTACCCCTGGAGCTCTGAGGAGCCCCACAAGTTCCTGGCTCAGGAGGAAAGACAAGCTGCAGAGCACAGCCTGGTGATAGAGGCACAGGGACTTAGTGACTGCAAAGCATGGCAGTGCCTCCAGACTGCCAGGTCCTCCCAGTGTGTTTGAACAGCTTTTGGAAAATCCAGGTAGCTTAAGGCCACAGAGATACAACACCAAGGGTTTCCCACTTTGATCACTTGTTTGGAAGCAGATCCAATCCCTGGGGATCCCAGGGTGGGAATGAAAGGGGAGGTGTGTGCTTCCAGGTGTTTGGTTTCTGTACCTCCATGGCTTTTCTTTCTGAGGCCTTTCCCTGCCTGCTGGGACTTGTTTTGCTCTGAGCAAGCTGCAGGCAGCCATGAACAAGGCATTTCTTCTGGACTTCTCCACCTCCTTCCTAGTCTCTCCTCTTGCTCTTTGTGGAGCTTTTCAGAAGCATCAACAAAACCCTCAAGACATGATGGCATTTTTTGTTCTCTAGTTGTCCCATGTTGTAGAAATGTCCCTGTCTTGCTAAGTTTGCATACAACAATCCCCAGAAATCCAAAACTCAACAACAAAGATCAGAAAGTCAGACCCTGAGAAGTGAAAGAGAAGGAGTTTGATCTACCTCAGCCTAGCAGTCTGTAGCATAAATGGTCAATAGGAGTCACACCTCTGAATGCATCATTGGGTGGCAGAATTTTACAGGTAGAACAGAGTACAAGATTAAAAAAAAAAAAAAACAGCAATATTTTCTATTTTTGCATTTTGGCCAGTTCACTGCATACCTGGATATCCATGGCTGAAGCTAAGGTAGCCTTCACGCTCTCTGCCAGTGAGAAATCTCCATGTTGAACAGTCCTGTGAATGATGTCATTGCTGTTCACCACAGTAACAAGTCGAATTGGGAGACCCATTTTCTGGGCAATACAGCCAGCTAGGGAAAAAAAGTCAAAAAAATGCATGAGTGCTCGATAAAGAAATATGTGAAGGAGATTTAGCAAAGAAGTCATCATACAAATTGATTGAACATCTAGTTCAGAAGCAGGCAGAAATTATATTCCCTAGTGGACTCTGAGATATCTGACTTCAGGGGCTTGGTAGAGCACAGATTATAAAATCCAGGGATGCAATGCTCCACCTGCCACTGAACACAGACCCTGGCTCATCTTCACTTTTGCTGGTGGACAGGCAGGGGGCAGAGAGTTCAGGCAGCTGACAGGCAAGCAGGAGAGATGAAGATTTTGGGCTTTTGCCTCTCTGATGGCAGCCCAGAAGGGCAGTGAATATATAAAATCCTTTATTGCTTTCATAAGACAGTTCTACACCTATTTTGGGACTGAGGCAATCAAGGACTCTCATTTAGAAGGCCAGATTATGCAATTAAGAGTGGTTGTCCTGACCATGCATTACCATGCAAACCAGAGAGGACCAGGCAGGACTCCACACCTCTGTTAATGTCTCACTTAAGAAATCAGAGCCACAGCATTTTCCCTCTTTTCTGCATCAAACACATTCTATCCTCTCCCAATGTGCCCATCCTCAAGATAGTTACAGTCATCATCAAAGAGTGGTTTGGGTTTTTCTGCACCTTGCAAATCATCAGTGACACGTAAATTGAGTAATAACCATACATGAGTAATAAAATATAAGTGGTTCTGAAGAAATCCTACCAGAGAGTGGGTGTTTTAATAAATAGCAATACCCAGTATCTGCAAAGTGCTTTTGGTCCATAGATCAGAGCATTCTCTCTCTCTTATCTAACCCATCTCTTTTTCCCTTTACCCGTGATATTTCCTCCTCCTCCCGTTGGCACAACAATTTCCACCATGGGCAGCTGGGTGGTATCCAGGGATGGGGCACACTGAAAGTAGGCATAGAAGTAGTGGGCAATCTGCACCATAATCCTGGACCAATTGACAGAATTCAAGCTCATCACGTTGTATTTTCCAGCAAAATCAACATCAGCAAACAGTTCCTTGATGGGCTCATCGATTTCATCGCTGTTCCCATGAGCTGTCAAAAGGAGAAAGGAAAGATTAGATCTGGCAGCAGCAGTGCATCAGGCACAAGGTGTTTCTGCTCAGAAATAGGGCTGGTCTCAAGCCCTGGGGTTTGCTGTGGCCAGGAGCTGCCCATCTGCCCTGAGGGCTGCGTGAACCAGGGCCTGAGTGGCACCCTGTGGATGTCAGGTGGTTTCTGCAGACACAGCACTCTGGGCTGCTGCTTCTACCAAAGATAAACCTGCCAGGAAGGCAAATGCTGCATCCCCTTGTGAGATGCCAAGGTGAGACCAGGCTGAGCACAGGAGTCCATGGGAACTCAAGCAGCTCAAGCACCCAGTGGTGATGCCCATCCACGGGGATGGCACGGTGGCAGGAGGTGGATCACCCATGAAGGCAAGAGGACAGAGGGAAGGGGTGGCTCCAAATCCCTTTAGTGACAAAAAATGGTGCTGAATTTAGTCCAGCCAAACACCAACCACCTGCATGGAGGCAGCTCTGATCTATGGCCAGGAGGAAAAGAAGCCTTAAACTGCTTGGTTGTCAATCTGGAGATGTTGTCTCCTGTTAGCCAGGTGCCTGGGCATGGTGATAGCAATGACCCAGCTGGCTGCAGCTGCTAAAGCTGCAAACCCCACTGAGCAGCCCCCTCAGACTTTTAGGGTCAAGGTTTTGACACAGCAGAGCCATAAAGTGGACAGTTCAAACAGCAGTGCCAACCAGCAAAGACGTGGACGTTGTCTTCAATGACAGTGGTCATCTGCAGCTCCTGTATCTGGGTGCAGAGCCCCTTGGGCAGCAGAACAAAGATGTCCAAGTTCTTCTGCCCTCTCACGCTCTCGATGGCCGAGCTCCCCGTGTCCCCTGAAGTCCCTGTTTCAAAGTGAGGAAGCACCAAGAAAAGCAAAATATTGTTGTGTCAATCAAACCTGCATCACTGCACTTTTAGAAAAAGATGTAGAGATGCTCCATGAGATGTTTTTGGCCAGAGCAGCCACTCTGGCATTGCCTGGAGATTATGAGGCAATACCATCCTGGGGCATCTTTGGGGAGGGCCGTAGGATGGTGGCTCTCAAGGTAAAGGCCTGCCCAAGAACCTTACCTCCAAGGAGTCATACTCACCCACCAGGATATTGACATGCTTCTGCCTTTTCTCCAAGAAATACTGTAAAAACTGTCCTGTGCAGGACAAGGACAAGTCCTTAAATGCATATGTAACACCATGCCAGAGCTCCAAAATGTTCAGCCCATCTTTCAGCCTGGACAGATGCACAACATTCTTGTGTCTGAATCTGCTGAAGGCCTTGTCGATCAGCTCTAGAGGAAAAATGGTTAAGTAGCCTGTTAAATGAAAGGAGTATTTTTCTGACCCATGGCTTCCTGCATCTGTGCTCTTTGTGCTCCTGGGCACCTTTCTGCACAACCAAAGGCTCTGTGCAGTGACAGATACCCCTAAAGTTATTTGTGGCTATTCGGAATGAACCAGCCCATCTTCATGCTGTTTGACAACTCTGTGCTAGGTAATCCCAGGGGACATGCCACACAATCAGAAAACGATATTAAAACATAAAATACAGGAAACCTGAGTTTTATACCAATGTGCTGCTGAGACAGAGGTTGCAGCTGCCCTCTGGTGGAAAAGATAGCTCATAACTGTTAAAAACATTTAAAAATACACATCAAGGCAAGCGTGAAGCAGCAGGGAGACCCAGCAGTGAGCAGACCCACAACATCAGCTTGCTGTTGTCACCAGAACCCTTATTTTAAAACAAGGGATACCTTCTCCATTAGTGCCAGCAAGGTGACAAAGGAGAGCAAGCTACAGAAAGAAGCAGGCAACGGGCAGCAGGCTCCTTCTCTAGAGGGCTGTGAAGAGGATGGGAAAGGCAGACAGATGCATCCAGACCCCGCAAATCCTTGTCCACATCCCCACGGGCAGCTGCCCACTCAGCTCACCACTGAGCACATTCCGTGGGACCAGCTCGGCCGGGACGAAGAGGGAGCACAGCTCCTTCACCAGCTCAGGGTAGGAGAGGCTGCTCCACCTTCGCAGGGTGTCCCTGTCCAGCGAGGGGATGCGCTGGGGCATGAAGAGACCCCCATCGGGGGCATAGCCAGAGAAAAGGGCTCCCTCGAAGTCCACGGCCCCCGTGCCTCCCCGTGTGCTGATGTACTCCATGGCTGCTGGGGAGGCACCACAATCACTGCCAGCAACACAAAGCTGTTACACAAACCTCACACCAGGAACAGGCTCTCAGCCCAAAACAACTCCCTCCAAAACCTCCCCTGTGAGCAGACAGAACTCCCCAGGGGACAAACCACCTCCTCCCACAGGGAGCCGGAGCAGCCGGGGTCAGTGCAGGGCACTCGGCATTTTGCAGAAGGTGGAAAGGCTGCCTGGGATTTATGCCAAGGTCGGAGCCTCCTTGTCCGGCTTTTCCTCTACCCTGCCCGGGGAGACATTCCCGTCTGAGGAAAAGCCCTGACGGCGCACAAGTCGCCGCAGAAGCACGTCATGAACCTTTTGTGGGCTGTTTGCAAAAGCTGGAGCTTTAAATTAAAAAAGAGATCGCTACGTTTTCAGAGCAGGCTGATTTTGTTCAAAGGGGTTAAACTAAGGACAGGATTTGACGCAGCGTAGGAAGGGCTGAGCTAAATCCTCCGGACCGGCGCAAATGCCGCCGGCGCTGCTGCGAGCGGCCCGGTGTCCCCCTGCCCCTGTGCCCGGCCCCGCTGTGCCCGCCCGGCTGTGCCCCCCTCAGGCAGCGCTGCCCCCTCAGCGCGGCTCAGCACGGCGGGGAAGTGCCCAAAGAAGCTGCGGCCACCGCTTCCAGCCCGGCCACCTTTTGCTCTTGTGCTCACGGAAAAATTGTCCCCTCACCGGTGTTGCCGGTGCCGCGGCAGAGACGGGCGGCAGCAAGCCTGGAATGGGGATAAGCGGGAGAGATGGAGCTCGGCTGCTTCTGCCGGTGCCAGGAGCCGGGACAAGGGGCAGCAGGTGCGAGCTGCAGCGAGGGGGAAATCGGGTTAAATATTAGGAGACCGCTTTTAACCAGAGGGTGATCAGGCACAGGGCATGGAGACCTTGTGGTCTCTTGTGTAACCCGGGAGACATTCCGACTTCGAGCGGGGAAACATGGAGAGACCTGATTAATTAAACCATGAGTTTGGAATTAAATTTGAGATTGAAGCTGCTTAAAGAAGGGTTTGAGTCAGGAAACCCCAGAAGTCCCTTGCAGCACAATCAGTCTGGAACTCAGCTCTGCTCAGCCTCGCAGCACCTGTCACATCAGTGGGGAAACTGAGGCACAGGGGAGGGAGGAGACATGCAAAAAAATCCAGTTGTTCGTAGGGAAGGGCTGTGCATCCCTTTGCTGCTTTTTATTTTAATATAATCAGCATTTTTTGAAGGGCAAAGTCAGCACAGGACCGGTGGCTGCACAAACCCAGGACACAGCAGAGTGCTGGAGGAAGCAAAAGGACTTCAGCCCGGGCAGGCAGGAGCTGAGGTACAAAGGATGGCTGATAACAGCCTGCTGTGAGCCACGGAAGCCACATCTGCAGCAAAAGACACACCACCTGCCAAAGCACTGGAGTATGCCCCAAATACATTGCCTCTCTCTCTTTATTCTTATGGTTCTAACTGGAGCAATGAGAAAAATATCTGGTAGAGAGTGGTCCAGTCATTGCCCTGGGCAGTGGTGTGGAAAATGACTTTTCTACACCCATCATCCCAAAAGACTCTTTCTGCAGGCTCTTTAGGTGAAGGCAGTAGGTGAATTTCAGGCTCTGGACAGAACTGCTTCTGGTGGTGTTGCTGAAGGTTGAACAGGGCAGCTGAAGCAGAGCGGGAAGCAAACACAAGTGTTTTAATAATATATCTGAGCTCAAACAGTGGGCCTGAACAGAGCACACCTCTAGGGAATCAGCTAGGAAGGGAGCTATTTATCTATAACTATATAAATTATATCACCAGCCATCCTGCATCTCCCCACCATCGCTGTGCTCAGTATTCCTCATGACATTGCAAAGATGAAGCCTGGGCCACCCAAACCTGCTGTAGCCCCATAGTTCTCCCTGTACCTGTAGTCACCAGATCCTCTTGGCACCCTGGTATGCAGTGGGGTGCTCACCCTGTAATGGAGGTCTGTCCCCATTCCAGATGTGGATCCAGGTCTTTTCAGAAGGTTCTGGATAGAACAGCAAGGCTGGACCTTGTTCTTCAGGGATTGGTCAGGCTTAAATTGATGGTGAAACCTCCCCATCACCATCCCTGGAATCACTGGAAGCTCCCAGTGATGGTTTACTTAGATGCTGAGGGGAGTAGCTGATGTCTCCACAACAGTCTCAGCTCCTCAATGTGCTCCAGTGGTAGCTGGCACAAAAAAGTGCAAGTAGTATCTCTGGACAAAACATCTGAAATATTAGAAATAAAGGAAATAGCAAAAACTGCAGGATATGGGATTTGCCTCCTCTTTTCTAACTTCTTCCCTTTTCCATGATGGTGTGCCAAGGTGAGCTCAGGATTTTCCTTCCTTGCTCATGCAGAGGCAGAGCACACTTAGAGCTCAACTCAGATTCAGGCTAGAACAAGGACAGGATCAAATCCATAGGAAGAACTGCACAGGCTGATAGTTTTTATTACCAATTTAATGTTTAATATCACCAATGTACATCTTTGCAAGAATCACCCAGCACACTTCAATGAGACCTCACCTTTTCCCACCAGCATGAGACCTTGTGTCTCTGGGCATTCACTTACCATGTGTCCAATTCTTCTAATGTATGTTTTAGCTATGAAATGAATTCATTAATACATCTGATTTTTTTTCCAAGTGAAGAGCTTACAATGAGATTGGTGATTCCTTCAGCATTACATCCCTCTGGGATGCAGGAGCCCTTTAAAAAAATAAAATTATTAAAGCAGGATACCTGCTGCTCTGCATCTGCAAAGAGGCTGCTGCCACAGGTCTGTCCATGCCCTGGTTATCAGCAGTGATAACCCTCATTAACAAGGACAGTGGTTACTGCTGGGGTGCAGGGACTGCTGATGTGGCAGTCACATGTGAGCACAGAACACAGCCTGGGACACAAACCAGGGTGACACTGCCATTTACTTGGAGAGGTTTTCCCATGCTCAGCCCTACAATTTCCATGAACTCAAGTTTAGAGTGGCATTTCATTTTGAGGGGAGCTCTGAGCAGCCTGGTCTAGTGAAAGGTGTCCCTGCCCATGGCCGGGTAGTTGGAACCAGATGATCTTTAAGGTCCCTTCCAACCCAAACCATCATGATTTCATGATTCATTCTATGATTCTTTAATACTATTTTGAATTTTTAAGAAAGGGAGGGGAGGAGTGTGCCCATGCTGCCTGTCAGGACTCATCCACTGCAGCAACAGATGAAGAGCTAGAAAATGTAATAGCCTCTAATTAACCTGGCCTTACTTACTCACTGCCTCCCTATTTCTGCTGGGATTTGCAGTTCTAGTTTGGACCTTGCCCTGAGCAGTTCATGGTCTCTGGACTCATATGTCAGGAATCACCTGTAGCTACAAACTCCAGCTCAAGCTGCTATCAGACTTTCCCTTTTGTTTTCTCTCTCTTTTTTTTCTTTTCTTTTTTTGGAATGCATCATTTTTCATCCCTCCAGGGGAATTTCCTCAACCTCTCCACCTTCCAAAGGCACCCCAAAGCCTGATGAGGATGAGGAAGCAGGAAGACATGTATAACAGCAAAAATTCAAATTTTTCCTGCACCAATTCTCCTAAAATAACATGTCTCAGCCCCGAATGTTGCAGCACTCAAAGACAAGCCCATCAAAACTCTCAACTTCGTGTTTGCTTCGAGCAGTTTTTCCATCCTCTCCAGCAAAGCGTGCCCCTGTACATGTTTGGGTGGGGGTCCCCGGCCCATTTTCCATGCAGAGCATCCCCAGGAGCGCCGTGGACCAGCGGCGCTGCCGGCGAATCCCAAATCACTAGATGGCGGCAGTGCCTCGTGTCCAGGCATCCTGCAGGAGCTGCACATCCCTTCTCTGATCCCCTTCAGCCTTTCCCACCCTCCCACCGGTCCCTCCGCCCTTCGGGTTACGGACATGTCCCAACAAAAGTCGGGGAACACCTCTCCAAAGTTTTGGAGCTGAGGAAGAGGAAGAACATGTAGTGTCCTGCGGCAGGAGGGTTGGATACAAAGCTGGTGCAAGAGCTCATCGGGGTGGGAAGGAGGTTCTTCATGTTCACCCATCTTCTCCCCAGAGGATTCCATCCTGCGATTTTATTACCTTCTTTTCAGTGAGATCTCTCCTGTCCCCAGTGAGACATTCAGAAAAGGGCACACAGAAAGGACCTCAACTCTCATGCAGGTCCAAAAAGCACCACATTTAATAAAAAAGTAACACATAACCCTGAGCAGAACAAAAATGTCCCCATTACTCCCAGTCCTGTCTCTGCCCACAAATTGTCTGGGGTCTGAAAACTGCATTCAAACAAAAGCTTTCAGACATATAAGCGACCTAGACAACACCAGGCAGGTCAGAAAGGCAGTGACCAGGATGTTTGGGATTTTGCAATGCCATTTACTGCCATGTACAGAGTGCCTTCCAGTGGGAAGTGTGTTATATTGGCTGAGAAAAATTACAGGAGCTTATCACTGAGGGATGTGGAAGTTATGTGTCCCCTGCCCTCTCATGTTCAGAAGTGTGAACATTCACAGAGAGAACAGGGAGATTCTAGGTAAAAACTGCAAGGTTACGACCAGAAATGAAAGTATTTCAGTTGTGCCTTCTCAGAGGCAGGCACAACTTAGTCAGGCTCAGAATCTACACCAGAAAGGGGGCTAAGGAAGTTTGCAGAATGTCTGCAGCTGCACAGGCAACATGCACTCAGAATTATTTATTTGAGCCTCATGTCAAGGAGATATAAGACAGAAATGTATGACTGTAAATAAATAAAACTGTAAAAAGCTGCATCTTTGTTACAGCAAAGGTGGCTCTTTCCCCCACTTTCTAAATGTGATCTAAATTGCCAATATGTCAGCTGACATAAGGCTTCCACATGGATCATTGGATTGCCTCCTCTCATCTGCAAATGTGCACATGGAGACTTTTCCACCTCTGCTGATTTTGCAGGGCAAGGAGCTGCCAGCATGTCGGCCCTTTCCCCACATTTGGGTGCAACACTCTTGCCTCAGAGCAAGGTGTTTCACAACCAGGTCAGGGACATCTGTGTTGTGGTTTGGGTCTTGTAGGCCAAGGAAGGGAGCTCAAGGACTTATGCAGTGCTGGCACCCTGGTGAGATATTGGAGGAGCTGTTGTATTCTGGAGAAGGTTGTGCAATCTGGTTCTGCTATGCTGAAGTTCACATTGTACCCCATAGCCACATTTTTTATCAAAATCTGTAATCCCATAGCGCGTGGGCTCTATGACCCCCAGTTAGGGACTGGACAAGGAAGATGCTTTATCAGCTTCTCCAGGTGACTTTGGAAAAGTTAGGCTCCATAATGTGCAAAAGGGTCATACCTGTGCTCAGGGAGGCACTTTGACTATAAAAACACAACATAACCAAGGGGACAGCGGCAATCCTGGGCTTTGTCCACAGCTCTGCTCTTGCTGGCACCATGGTTGCTCCTCTGTGGCCCTGAACCTGGTGAAGGCTCAGTTGCTGTCAGACTCCATGCAATTCTCT